AGCTAAAATCCAGCCTCTTTATCCGATTTCTTAATCAGATTTCTAGACCTTACTCCATCTAAGAAATCAGATATCCGATTACGATCAGATTATTGAGTGCATGTAAACGCACTCATTAGAAAGGAGGACTAGTGTATATTCGTATAGTTGTAAACGCCACTGCTGCTGTACTGTTTTTCCTGAAAAGGGTCTATTAAACAGGGATGAGGCGGATAGGTTACAACAGCAGAAGAGCACTGCAGGCTCCACTCACAACAGCCAAGAACAGGAATCTTTAAAGCACTTGGTCTTGAATTAAGCATTAACAGCATGAATGTATGGACCCAGCTTGTCTTGGTCAACAGATCAAGCTGGTGGTGAGGATGTAAAGTGTGGAACACACTGGCCACCCAATACCAATCGAACGTCTCTTGAATGCCACAGAGTTGCACCTCGTCACAATGCACAAGGCATCTCAAACTGGTTCCATGAGCACAACAGCGAGTTCTGTGTACTTCAGTTGCTCTTCCAGTCACCAGATCTGGGCACTCTGGTATGTGGTAGAGAAGCAAATTCACAGGATGAACGTGTAGCTGATAAATCTGCAGTGATTACATGATGCAATCATGAAAAAATGGACCAGAATCTCCAAAGAATGTTAACAGCACCTTATTGAATTCATGCCATGAAGAATTCTGGCTGTTCTAGGAGCAGTTTTAGAACGATGTTCCTAATAAAGTAATGAATTTAAGCTGTTTTTACAGCTTATTCACCAAATATGGACTGCATGGGCTGGACCCTGAATGGTCTTGAAACTATGACAATAAACTACAGGGTAATTCAAAAAGATTCATCCGATTTCAAAGCACCATATTTTTACAACCATGAGGCGCCTAGGAACCAATCACAATCCAATTGAAAGAGGGGGTCATAGCGTTTCTGACTGGCTCCCTTCAGTCTGAGAGGAGATGAGACCCCTGAGCAGAAAGCGTTCTGTGTTCTCCACTTCAATAAGAGTGAATCCGTCATAACTGTGCAGTGTGATTTTCGTGGGCAGTGAAGCTCCAACAGCTCAGAGCGTTCGGCGTTGGTTCCATAACACTGGATGATCTCCGAAATCACACTGAAAGAGCTGTGAGTGCAGCGACACCTGACATGCTCAATCCAGTATGGGATGAGTTTGACTATGGCGTTGATGTTGTCTGTACAGCTGGAGGAGGTTCATACTGAGACCTTGTACAATTACATAATAAACTTTATGCTCATTTAAATCATTTACAGTTTACTGCATTGATCTGTAATGATGATTTGAAATCAGATCAATCTAGGTAGCATTCCTGTTCAATTACACCAACAAATAAAGATATCATAACATTAAATAACTTATGAATATGAATTCAGAGCTACACAACCCAGCCCAAGTTGTAACTGGTGTTTTCTGACTCCTCAACTTGCAGTGTTTATGCAGCAGCCTCGCTCAACCTGACTCGCGCCTCGGTCTCATCATCTAATTAAAATAGCTCATGACTCACTGCCCACTCCAAACACTATGAGAAAACAGTAGATATATCTGCAATTAACTGCAAATGTATGGTAGCAATTAACCTTATAGTTAGTAATTATGCTTTTGCTGGTTACCGACGCTTATTTCCAACATTTTAATTAATACAGCCCTTCTCCTTGGAGCCTGGCGTTATGTGCAGTCTTAAATTCCCATTCATAATGAATGCATGTCCAGGAGGCATGGGCTCTCCACCGACAAGTCATCTGGATTAACCTTTACATTATCAAATATTCAACAGGGACTATTTAAAACTAATTATCTGCCAATTTACAGTAAAATCTGCATGCAATAACATTTATTATAATGTCACCATTTCAAAACCTAATATTCCCCGTAGAGCAGAAAGCCATTGGCTCCAAATGTCCACCTGAAGACTAGGAATCCGAGAGATAGGGGTCTTTGTTATCCATGGCTATTAAACGTCAAAGCTAATTAGGGCTGTCACTGTTGATTACATTAGTAATTGAGCAATCTGACAGTTATCTTAACAATTAATAAGGTCATTAAAACAATAAGAAAGCGTGCCCAGCTTTGTAAAGAGTACACACTACTGAAATAAGATTACAGAAACTAGCAAGAAGGCATGGGAGAAAAAAATTAAATAGTATTGGATATTTCAGGTTTAAATCTGGTATCCATACGAAGATGGCCGAGTATTGATATTTCCTACATTAATCATGATTATTTTTAACATGTATTAAGCCCAGTCTTCATTTTTTAGAAGAAATGGAAATAGAGGTGGGCGATACGGCAAAAATATTACATCACGATACTTCAAGACATTTTTACGATACACGATATGCATCACAATATTCAGTTTTTCTGAGATTTAATAAGATGGAGCTGAAAAATATAGAACCCATAGAGTCACATAAAAACACTACAACAATAGTAAACCTACAACTACAATGATTTTTTGAATAAAAACATTATTGCACTGCACTAAATCAAGCTAAACAGGACTAATTATGCTCACTTTGTAATGAAACATGCAGTGAGTCAGTATTCATTAAGCACTTATGATCTCCATGATATGCTAAGTAAAGCATATCGTGACAGAATTTATCATGACGATAAAATGTCACCATATTGCTCACCGCTTATTTTAAATGTATAATTGCGTGTCATTAACAAAGCTATGAAAACTGATATTGTTGTCCTGATGATGTTGCCTAGAGGCACCATGTAGAGAGAGAAAAGCAAAGGCCCTAAGACTGAACCTTGTGGGACTCCACAAGAAATATTACAGTTTTCTTATGAACGATTTTCCACTGAAACTAAAAATTCTACTCGTTAAATACGTATATGTTTATATGTTACATTTATTTAAACCATTATGAAACTGTCAGAGTTTTCAAGACTAGAATCTTGTGATCAACTGCATTTAGAATCTTTGTCATGTCTTTTTTTTGCATTACTGTTAAGTGATGTTTTGATAACATGGCTCTATTTGTGCAAGAATTTGTCAATAAAATGCAAACATTGCAAATAAAAAAGGTTTAAATGTAAATATTATGTACTGTATTCTTCTGTCACTTCGCCGTCATTGTAACAGTTTAACGGCTGTAAATTTACAGTTAACGAGTTTTTCTATCACTTTATGATTGAAACCTATGTTTGTGTCATAAACACACAGGCATCCGCAAACACCTCGTTCGCTTCCTAGCCCAATTCTGGGTTCAGACATGTTCAAGTAACCTCTGACAGGCTTCCAGCTCCAGCTGTCTCTCACACTCCTGGGCCAGGAGTGTCAGACTGTGCCCGCTGGGCAGAACGAATGTGACCCAGTGGCTGTCCAGTTGTGCTGCTCTCCTGCTCCCTTTCAGTCCCTCACTACATCTCTCTCTCTCTCAGTGCTCTCTGCTCATGTACGAGGCTTTCCCCTGCACTCTCTGTACGCCTGCTGTCCTCCAGGCCCTGCTCCTCCATGGTTTTCCACTGAATGAATAAATAATCAAAACAGAGCTCATCAGGATCAGGACAACTGACGTACATTTGGGTTTGTGTTTGCTTGGCCGCCTCTCTGTAATAAGTGTTGATGCTGAGAAAGCAAGAGCCTCGCTAATGCATAAGTAAACGCCTGGCCTTGATATTAATTTGTCGTGTAAATAATGGATGAGGGTGGGTGATGCCAACAGGGCTAGAACGACACTACCGCAGAAGCCCCGCCCACTCCTAAATACTCCGCCTACTCTGTCTCCTTCAGTTTGAACATATGATGAAATAGAGTCATGATGAGCACCGATGAAGTGCTACCTGCAAAATTATTCGCTCTCGAGAGCAGCCGTTCTCAAACCTTTTTAGTGTCGAGACCCCCTTTGTGCCCCCCACCCACAATTACTACTTTCACTTAACAAACGAGGACCATGTCTTATTAGTGGGAGAGGTTTGGCAGTGAATTTTCATTTTAGTAGCATCACTATTTTTAACCAAGCGCCATATTTTTAGATGCGGCTGAAGCAGAAGTAATAAAATTATAAAATTAAAACTTATTTTTATTATGTTTTTTTTTTTTTAGCTTGTTCTGCGGCCACTTTAGTACCCCCACTGTGGCACCCAGCTTGAGAACCGCTGCTCTACAGCAAAGTCGCAATTACACTAGACATTAGCAGGTTTTGTCGCCTTGCAAAATAGACAAGACCAAGCTAGACCAGAAGACTGGCAATGAAAGAAATCCTTCATTTTGGTGCTGTTAGCAAGCTCGCTAACTCACAAACCATAAACAGTACAAACACAAAAGTAACGTTAATTATGCCTGATAATTACACACGACAGCAGTATAGTTCACTGGTGTGACTGACAAAAGTAGTATGACTGATGTGTGCAGCAGTGCTTAGCCAGGCAGCTAAACTAGCAGTTAGCAGGCCTACTATAAACAATATTTTGCTGGCAAAAAGATACTGGGATTAGGTCTTATGGCTGCCCTGTCTGAGATCTGTCACTCAGATCCATCCTTTAATTTTGGAAAGTAGAAAACTATATTCAATTAAAAATTAAGTAAAGCTTACCTGTGTATTTTTATTTTTCTACAACAAACAGGTTTGTGGTAGAAAGATGCCAACATTACTGCTGATTGGTTACCATTACTGCTTCTGAGCGCTGATTGGTTGGCAAGCTGATCAGCTCACTGGCTGAGTAAAGCAATTCGCTCTTGCTAACATCATAAACACACATGAGGCTCTGTTTGAAAATCACATAACTGGAGTTCAAAAGCCGTCAAAAAATACTTTACGCTGTTCTGTGTTGAGAACATGAGTGATATTTTCTGCACAGAAGTCATCCAGCATTTACAAAGGACAGTTATGCACAGAAGCTTTACAGGAACCCACACATTCTGGACTTGCTCAGGAGTGCCCCCTAGCGTCAGACAAAACCGGAAGACATTACTGGGTGGCACTTCTCCTCATTTCCTCAAGACTACAAGGTAGAACATATGAGCAGACAGAAACTGTCCTACCTTCTGGAGCATCTGCGTCACAAATCTTGGTGGTTGCAGCAGTCTGATTTCCTGGTGAGGGATCCACTGACAGTGGGGTCTATGGAGAGAACAGAAAACACCACTGTTGTGGAAAAAAACAACAAAGTATTTAATCTTACATATTTATAAAGATTGTTCTGATCTACTTAAACCCAAGGCTTTAATAGAGACAGTGATAAGTTAAATGTGTACATCATCGTTTATAAGGTACGTTCTGTTGGAAGGAGTCTGTCCCAAACCCTGACCCCTGAAGTGAAGTAAAAAAAAAAAATGTTATTCAAAAAATGCTGCTCCATGTTTTTGTCACTACCAAAACAAAAACTTTTATTTTATGGGCGGAGCCCTATTTTAGCAACGCCCCTGCATTTTAGAGCAGGAAGTGATGCTGCATCCCTGTCCCTCATGGCCACATGGTGAGCAGTTAGATCCCACTGTTTTGAAGTAAAGGTGTCCCAAAGTCTGAAAATCAGTGTGGAACATTAAGAATCGTCATATTTTCTGCAGTTCAGCACTTTTTAGTGTTTTAATGTAAAATATGATGATTTTCTGTGTGAACAGCTGTTCAAAGCTGTGTTTGCTGGTCACTGAAACAGTCACTTTTGGTAAAGTTTGGGTAATTTTATTAAAATAAACATAATTAAGGTAAAGGGCAGGGTTTGGCAACCTAAATGTTAAGAAAAGCAATTCTGTCCTTTCAACAACAAATCAAACTACTTTGGGAGCCACAACATTTTATGTCCATTTTACCATCTTGAAAACGCAAACACAGACTTACTCTGCTCTGCTTTAAGATTTAGCTCAGCTACAGCTCCTTTTCTCGCATCTCCAGCAGGAAACTTTTCCTCAAAAGTAGAACAGTTTCTTGTAAAAATGTCTCTCAACGTTTGACTTTTTACGAGGCTGAAGTCGCTTCTCATTCGCCAGCTTCTTGTTCAAATTTTCCCGTTCCACCTTAAATGGTGCCTGAGGTGCCAGAATGTAACTGCTGCGATATTTAAGGTGGAACGGGATAATTCAAACAAGAAGCTGGTGAATGAGAAACTGACTTCAGCTCCATGACTTTTTAGTGTTTGTCAGTTTCTCGTTGCAGATTAAACATATCAGGAAACCAGCTGGAGTGATTATAAACACAAATCAGTCCATTCGTCTCTAAATTATCGATGTTCGTCTTAAATCTCACTCTTTGCCTTTTCGTTAACTACTAGCCAGGCGAGACTGTTGTTTGTGCTGATCTTCAGGGTTAAAGGGTGAATTAGCAGTTCTACATTAACTCCAGAGTTTAAGACCATTTATTGTTAAACTGTGTTGAACGATCAGCAGAGCTTTATTTTACTGTAAAGGAGGATTATTTTATTTTTACCTACTAATCTAATTCAGCTGTGGAGCCGAAACAGGACAGTGAAAGAGCCGCACGTTGCCGAGCCCTGGGCCAGCGTCACTCAAAACAAAAGGAAAAGTCCCAAATGAGTTTCAGCTCTGACTTTGAATCAGTTCGGTAGAATCATCCATATATGACTGATATCATAAGTATCTTCTCATCAGTAAACGCTCCTCCTACTGCCTCCGAGACACGATGTTCTCTGAACTCTCTAGAAGAGCATGGCTGTTAGTGTGTAGGGGCTCTTTTAGACAGATGATGCTAATTGGTCAACTTAAGGTGCATGCTGGGCTGTTTACTGGACACAGGGGGAGGCTAGTTGCTGCCATAAACTAATCATATTCTTTCTTCTCTGTTCCCCCCAACAGCCCCAGGCAACCAGTCTCCTGACCAGACCACCGACAGCGTGCTTGACTTGGAACAAATTGTCTTTTAGCTGGGCTAGCAGGGTCCGGCTGGTGACATAATTTGTCTGAGAACAAAGTCCAGGGAATGAAACTGATAGGAAAAAAAAACCCGTCTGGTCGGAATAATGACAGTGATGTAGTCAGTAAGTGGGAGGATGAGGTCAACAGAGTTTGTAAGGTTTACAAGTGAGATTTAATGCTTACACACGCAAACACACACACACACACACACACACACACACACACACACACACACACACACACACTCATGTAGCCTCTGAAGATGACAGTCGTAATCCCTTCCTGTTGCAGCAGAGCGGATTGACTCCGCAGGTTCAGGTAGTGACATAATCCCAGAGACCTGAAGAGCTACTATCTCTCTCTCTCTCTCGCACACACACTCAGCCTTAGGGGGGTTTCTATTTCTGAAGTTAATCAAATATAAAGTAACTGTGTATTAATACTAATGCACTTCACTAATAATGCACTTCATAAATCGACAAAAATACGTTGTTTGGCCGGGGGTGCCAAAACCTTTGCCTACAGCTGTATATGGTGCTCAAAAGCAGCCTTGAGACATCGTCAGTGTAATTAGTGCCTTGTTTATTCATTACTTTCCAAGCTAGTTATCTTTTTTTTCCATATAAAATCCATTAGAAAAGATACAACAACCGACAGAAATGATCAGGATTATTAACTGAAGGCAAAATAATCCAGTAATTAACTTAAAGTTAAAAATTAAATTAAAAAATTAAAGTTAGGTGTAGAAAAGTGCTCAAACGTTTGTGGGATTAACATCTGTGTGTTTTTCCTTTATGTAGGTCAGTATTTTGTGCTTTATTATATCAGTGTTTTTCTGCATGTTCTTTCATTTGGATGACAGCGCAGTGCTGCGGTACTCGACTCCAGACTCGAGAGGGTACATTAATGATCTCATCATTTGGACTCGGTCTCGTCTCGGTCTGAAAGTGGACTCGGAAATTGTTCTCGAGAGCAGTCGAGTGTGACGCGTCCGTCTGAGGAAAATGGAAACAAAACTATTTTTTTTGACGGTATTGATTATCAACCAAACCTTCAAACAGAATTAAGCAGTCCTCTCTCTACATGTTTAAATAAAATCAGTCGGTTGAGGATCTAATTGATCTTCCATGGTAGATTAACTGGGAATCATTTGGTGATGTTCACTGGTCCCAAAATTCAAACATCAGAACATTATTATTAATTAATTTAATATTATAAATCGATGTGTGTTGTTTGGTTTATATTCAGTTGACTTTAGGTGGCGATTCTGAATTTTTAGAGCATCGTTGGTACCAAAGTTACAATGCAAAGTAGGACTTTCCTAATTAGTAATATTGAGGCTATATATTATTTTAATTTTACAAAATATATTACAAAGACTATTTCTGTTTATTAACATGATTACAATGAATGTACAATGAACTACAAATGAGTTTCATTTTTCCCCTTCTTCTTTTTATTTCTATATTCTAAAAAAAGAGGACACTTTTCCACTTTGCCTCAGTCCATTTTAAATGAGCTCAGGCCCAGAGAAGTCGGCGGTGTTTCTGGACCCTGTTTATATTTGGTTTCTTCTTTGTGTTTTAGAGTTTTAACTTGCATTTGTGGATGCAGCGATGAACTGTTTCCACAGACAGTGGTTTTCAGAAGTGTTTCTGAGCCCATGCAGTGATTTCCACTACAGAATCATGTCTGTTTTTAATGCAGTGCTGCCTGAGGGCCCAAAGATCACGGCCAGCCAGTACTGGTTTTTGGCCTCGTCCCTTACACACAGAGATTTCTCCAGACTCTCTGAGTCTTTTAATGATATTCTGTACCGTAGATGATGAAAAGCAGAAGTTCTTTGGTATTTTATGTTGAGAAACGTTATTCTTGAATTGTTGCTCTATTTGATGGTGCAGTCTTTCACAGAGTGGTGAACCCCTCCTCATCTTTACTTCTGAAAGACTCCGCCTCTCTGAGATGCTCTTTTATACCCAATCATATTACTGACCTGTTGCCAATCAACCACCAGGTGTTTTTTTTTTTTAGCATTACACTTTACCAGCCTTGTGTTTCCCCCGTCCCAACTTTTTGGAATGTGTTGCTGGCATCAAATTCAAAATGGGCAAATATTTTGAACAATAAAAAACAATAAAATTTCTCAGTTTCAATATTGATTTGTTGTCTTTATACTATTTTTTATTTAAATGATTTGTACATCATTGCATTTTGTTTTCATTTACATTTAACACAGCGTCCCAACTTTTTTGGAAACGCGGTCGTACTTTCCCAGTGATATCTTCTGAAGCTAATTCACAGTCTTGCAATCGGGCATGTTTATTTCAACCAGGTCATGTGTTCTCTGCATGCGCACACGTCTACATGCTTAAGTGGAGTTTATTGGGGGACTTTTCAGCCTTGCTAACTTGCAACTGGGTTAGAAATTTGACTCTTAGTTTGTTTCCATGCACATTTAGTCCAAAACGTCTCATGGTTGCCTCCAGACTTTCTCTGTATGAGATCACGTCTGGCTCTGTGAGGCCATGAAAAGGGCAGCGCAGTCATAAGGTGACGTCCCAGGAGACTAATAACTGCATGAATTGCAAATTAACAAGCAGTTGATTGGATGTCAGTCCGTAATGACATCACCTTATTGAATTCCTGTATTTTTATAAATTGTTTCAAGTTCTAAATAGTTTAGAAATCATTGTACAAAGATTTTTATAGCCTTTTAATATGTGGCACTGTTCTGCTGGGGCATTTCAGCTGTTCCAGTTTTTTGCCAAACCTCAGAAAAGCAATATCTGGATATATTTTGCTGATTTTTGTGATATTTCTTATATCCTGATGTAATATTTTGGCCATATTGCCCACCCTTTACCCCCTACACAGGCCCTTACCTGCAGTAGGTACTTCTGGCTGCCGTACATGACGTACTGCGGGGCCAGGCTGTAGATCATGTAGCTGGTGTGAAGCACAATTAGGAGCAGGATCATGCAGAGGAAGAGCAGCGCCTGAGGACGGGTTCTTTGAGGCCGGATCTTATACAGCTGCCCACATACAGCCATAGGAGAAAGAGAATAAAGGAGAAAATATGAATAAATCATCAAACTACCCACCAAGAATGAACGTGCAGAAGTCAGCATGAGCATTTCCCCTTTATACCTTCATCAGTTAAAGGGGATCATATGAACTGAAAGGGAAGGAATACCCTGATCCAGAAGAACCAGATGCCCATATTCCGGATGCCCGCCATGGAGGTGAAGACGAAGTACATGGTGATGACCGTGATGAGCACATAGTCCAGAGGGAAAACCTGAAAAAAGACAAAGAACCAGCTTGTTTTTGTACCTTCACTAAAGAAATCTGGCTAAGAACAAACAGAAGGTCATCGGTCCTTCAGACACGGCCATCATTATGTTGTATATTAATGTATAAATATATTATTTGTTAATCATCATCATAACACAGTCCGCTGTAGTACTGTTACCGTAATGAACATACAAACGAGCTCTCTAATCAATCACATTGTTTTTTTTTGTTTGTTTTTTTTTTTACTGTTTTCTGCATCTTGACCAATCACAGCTCTCGATGAGAGTTTCTGTGAGTGTTTTATGAATCCAGATATTCACATAATCCAAAAAAAGTAAGTTATTTCGGTCAAAATAACAGGTCGGGTCACATTATCGATCTGTCAATAGGTTTTCAGTAGAGCCTGACCAATATACGGGTCGGTCGATAGTATCTGCCGATATTGAGGACTGATTTTGTGGGTATCTGCCGATCGTTAGTGACCTTCTGGTACCGTAGCGACCTTACAGAGTTGTGCTTTTAGACTGGGGAACCCAGAATGAGGCACCACAGAACAGCAACACAGGCTGAACTGGTAAATCTGAAGCTATCATGGTTAAAATAAGGCAAGGCAGGTTTATTTATATGCTTTACAAATGAGAAAATACAGAGTTGTTAAAAAAGTAAACGATTAATGATTAAAACATGATTAAAACAATAGATTTAAAAGAGAAAATCATTACATCAAAAATCAAATTAGGATTTAAAAGTTAGATTAGGATTAAAAAAAAAAAACTACAAATATCAAACACATGTACCCAGTTCTAAACTTTAGCACAAGGATAACAGGTTAGAACACATGACTTTCTCTTTGAAGAGAACTGATGATAAACTGATGAATTCTGGGTAGCTCCACAACATCTATAAAATTTAAGTCTTGAGTTTCTGTCGTTTATTTGAGTTTAAGGATTGTGACAGTGGGCGGAATTGGCAGTGATATCAGCTGGTAAAGTGCTGCTTAACAGACTAATGAAGTGTAAAATGTCTAAAATATAAAATTATATCTGCTGATATTTCAGTTGTAGCCTCTTAAAACTGGTATTGGTATTGGTCACTAAATGTTCAAGCTGACTGGATGTTCATTTTCTTTAATTCCTTTATTTTTTAATGTATCATTTATTTGAATTTGTCTTTTTTTAATACAGTGGGGCCCATATCTGAGAATACTTGTGAAAATGTGCATATTTTACATTCTTTTAATGATCATTTTATACAAAGATGTTTCATTAAGTATATTTAGCTGCAGTGCACCAACCAGCTGGAATTTATTATTTATTAATTATTTATTAATTAATTGCATCTCTAAAGCTTCGTTCGCTGGTGTCACTCAACCATTTTCAACTTTTAATCTCTGACCACCTCGACTCAGCCTGACGCTGTTTTAGTTCATGTAGTTTTAGGGCTTTTTTTCTTACAGTTATTAATAATTTTCTTATATTTGATTATTTTTTTTCTTACTTGGTGTAATTTATTTGATATATTGTTTTTTACATAGGTGTTTAATTTATTGTTTTTTTAAATTACCCTTTATAAATTACTTATTTATCATTACTAATGTGTCCAACAGTTTTGTTTCAGCTTTTTAAACTTATTTGTCTAAAAGTTTCCTAATTTTTATTTGTCTGTATGTGCTGGTCTAATCATTTATTTGGTTTAATTTATTTGCTTTGCTTTTACTGTCATCAATTTATATTTGTTCCTTTCAATCCCTTTTTATTTAATTATTTGGTTACTTTTTTTTAAATAATGCTCAGCTACACTGTAAATGAGGGTCAACTTTAAATAAATGTTAATTGATTGATTGATTCATATTATTAACATAATTTGAGCACAAAATAATATCTTTCCTAATTTCCCAATGTCAACATGCACTCACTCCACAAGTTTGAGTAAAAGTCTCTGATCAGCAGATCAAATCCACCTCAGTGTCGTCTGAACACGATCTTGACTGAAAGAGACCAGACTGAAAAAAATAATCTGACCATTTTGTTCAAAGGCCTGAAGCCGGTCAATGTCTAAAATTTAAATAGTGACCTATAAACGCTGCAGAATCTTTTTTTCCCCCTCATTCTCAACATTTTTTTTTCCATTTTGCTTGTCGGAACTTTTTTGTTTAAAACCTTTAAAAAATGTTTGAACTTCCCAGGATCAAAACGAAAAAGTCCCAAATTTCCACTGTGGTCTCAGACTTAACGGTCCCACTGTATGTAATATACAGTGTATACAGTATAATAATGTGTATTGCATTCATAATACGCCCCCCTATATATACCATATAATGCTACTTCTCCACAGCATGTCCTTGTCCAGCGCTCGATAAGGCACAGTTACTGCCACCTGACACACAAACACACTTTGTGTGGGCCTACTGACATTCAAGAGGACACAAAGTCAGACAGTGGAGGCAGTGGCAGGCCGTGGCCGCCTCCCCCGTATAACTTAATGGTGCGTTTTAATTGATATGGGCTGCGCAAACGGCAAAACGCTGGAGGCGGCGAGGAACTCCAGCTCGGAGAGACACATACAAGGTTTTGCAGCACCAATAAAACCTCCTAGGTGTGTGTAAAGAGAGCGTGTTGTAATGCACCAAAGGGAGTTGCACCATCAGTTCCAACAGCCAGGGGCAAACAGAATTGGGTCAAACGCGTCGCGTCGCTACGAACACAGAAATGGCTTCGGTGAAAGCAGCTCAAAAGTACTGTACTGTAGTCATGAATGAGGCTGTGTTTAGTGAAAACCTCGCCCTCTGCAGAGCTGATGCAACAGCTAGTAGCTTATACTAATGTGAGAGTGCTAATATAGCCCGTTCATTAGAACATTAACCTTCTCTAATTGTTTGGAGGTTTAGGAAAACACTGCTGTTTACATAAACAGGAATATATAAAAATAAGGGGCTCCGCAGCACAGCTGTTCAGCTCTGACGATGGGCCGAAGCGTTTTAGAGACGGAAAAAGTGGTTGAAAGTCACCCTAAAAGTGACCCCTCTCCCCGATCCACTTTTTATTGGCGTCTTTGGCTCCACTTCGCTTCCCTGGATCGGTAATGCGCACCTCTTTGGCAGCTTTTAGCCATAACTCTGCGGCATTTCTGGAAATCTGTGAAATACACATTGACCTCAGTCCCCCGTTACTCTGGCCATTAACCCCAAAGTAGCGCTAATTACGAAGGTTTCCAGCTAGAACTCTGAGAACACGTTACGTTTTATTCTTTTCTTAATCATTTTTTCCCCAAAGGCTGGGAATAATTGTCAAAATCAATGGTCGGCGCTTCTGAACAGTTCCGTTTAATCAAGTGCTCTCGGGCAAAAGAGACCGTACTTTATTCAAGCGCATGGCACCCGATCATCGCGCTAGCAGGAGGAGATGGAAGGGTTTTAAAGGATCCGGAGCAGCTCCTGTGATGAATAGCGCAGTTATTACTGATCCGTAATTGCATCTAATTCAGCGGCCATCACGTCCTCCCGTTTCATGATTTAGGAGAGAACAATCGTCTTCATGAGGTAGCTAGCCCAAACGGGAGCAGGCAATCCGCATACCAATCCTTATATTAAGCATTAAAGGCGATTATTCAAGGCTCTAGACGTATTCGCTGTAATCTATCTCGCTGTAGGGTGGAGCGTTCTGTTACGAAATAACCGCAAAATAACACTCATGAAATCAACCGGAGCCGGAGTCTATTGTGTCTTCTCCGCATGACTGGCCACTCAGCGCTGACTCAACCCTGCCAGGATTACATCAGACCTGTCACAGCATATATTTACAACATATACATAACCGATATTTACAGAGGAGCCTCAACAGCTGAATCTGATCTCACTCTTTCCCTTCATTCCGGCTTCCATTCTGTTCAGGAGACTCACTTTCAGTTCCTCAAAGAATCTGCAGACACTCCTCCAAAGTTCAGTCTTAGAAGCTGGTTGATGATTTTCTGAAGTAATCAAACACATTCAGTGGTGTTGAGGTCTGGACTCTGGGGTGGTCAGTCCATCGTTCAGCTTCTTTGTTTGATGTGTCCGTCTCCTTTTCTCAGTGAGGTTCTTCTTGAACAGCTACACATCCTTTCAGACCCACAGCGCTGAGTCGTCTTCTCACAGTGGAAGGATGGACAGAAACACCTGTGGATGTTTTCAGATCTGAAGCAGCTTGATTTTCTCCTCTCTCTCAGAGATCAAAGCTTTGAGTGCTGTTTATCTGATGGGGGCAGTTTTGGGGTCTCCCAGCTCTTCCAGGTGGTTATTAGGAAACATATTTTCTGTGCAGCGTTTAATATTTTTTTCATATTCTGTACAACGCTGGACAAACCTCACCTGCACACCTGACCTTATTTAATTGCCATTGCTTCACCTGCTTTTCTCCTTTTCTGTATTTTAATATTTTATACTAATGTTAAAACCTTATTCTCAGCTCATTTTGCTCTTGTGTTATTGTTTGCTATCGGGTGTGGTCCAGAGGAGGATGGGTTCCCTGTTTGAGTCTTGGTTCCTCTCAGTGTCCTCTTACTCTTAGGGAGTTTTCCCTGCCACTGTAAGCACTGGTGTCGCTCATAGGGGCTCAGACCCGGATTTTATATAAATGAACCTTAACTTGAAATCTCAAACTTATGAACTTAATAACAGTTTTGACTGGAAATTAAACCAACAAAAGAATGACCTCTAACCTCGGCGCAGCACAGTATGTCATATGAAAATGATTAAAGAAAGCCTTTTAAAAGTAATAATAATACACTTTGTGGCAAAAAATGCATATAAACAAGTGTCCATCAGGGCCTGTTTCTGACTGTAAGAGAGTCCAGTTTAAAACACGCAAACTGGCCACTCACTGGGAAGGAAAATCTTTAAAAATCTGAGCAGTGTATCATAACTGATTAACTGTGGCAGCATTAGATCCTTCTTTGTTCTCTGTAAGGCTTGTTAACAGCAGAAATGATCTAGAAGCAGCGCCTCACCGGTTGGAGCGCCAGCAGCAGCTCATTGAGGGGGTTCGTCAGGTTGGTTCCGAAGATGATGAAGCCGGTGCTGATTCCAGCTGAGTGCAAAGCTTTGTCCAGACTGCAAAGAGATAAGCAGAACTTCTATTGTGACATTTATAGATGTGTAATATGCCAAGTACTGTAAAATGATGAATTGTGATATATTTATTACTTGATTTGATTTATTACTTCTACTAATAATTCCTCAGAAAGATACTTTTTCTGTTTTATCTCAACTCACTTCAATTCTTTTGAAGAACACAATTAATTTTGGTATCCTATTATTTTAAAAATGGGCTTAGAACATGTCAGAAAACATCCATATCTGAGCCTCCATGGCCTCTTTTCCTCTGTAGAGTCGAATGCGTCTGAGCAGGGAGAGTAAACATTCCAGGAGGTTTTTACACGGATATGGAACGCTTACATTCCATGCTTGGCATGGTTTCCTCAACACAGTCAGCTAACCGTACTCAGGGCCGCAGAACCAATCAGTAGGCTGATATAATAGGGTAGCTATTCAAATCAAATAAACTCAGTTAGCTTACATGGTTGCCAAAAAGCATTATGGTGCTGCTAAGTAGGACAGGGAAGCTGGTTAGCATTGAATGTGTTCCATGGGGTGTGTAGCTGTTAGTCTGTTAGCCATCACTGAGCCACTGTCGTGTGTAGTCTTCCTGCTTTATTTCCTCTTCCTGATTTATCAGCACTGTTTAACATTTAACAGTTGTTGTTTGATTGATAGTTTGACGTTTATTTGCTGATGTAGCTATTTAGTCAAATTTAAGTTGCACAGTGCTGCTAACTAGGACAGGGGGGCTAGTTGCCACTGAACATGTTCTGAGGGGTGTGAAGCTGGGGTGTGTGTTAGCCGTCAATGAGCCTGTTACGCGCCAGGGGTTCGTTTTGAGTGAGTCTCAAACTCGCAACCCTTTTGTTAGTAGTCGAGAGCATTTAGGGACAAAGCACCTGGCAGACAATGAGGGACTGACTCAAGCGTAGAGCAACTATGGTTCTCAGAAACTTTAAAAGGAGATAAGACCAGAGGGGACGATTTTAATGAGGAAAGAAATAAAGGGGGAAACAAACGAAAAAGAAACAAGGAGAGCGACTTGTCACGGGACCTGGGGATCAAACCCTCAACTACTGTGATCCCAGACTAACGTGTTACACACCGTGTTAAACATAAAGGCTTAAAAGGATAAACAAAGCTGAGAACTGCCCAAAACAGTACTTAAAAACTTCTTTCTTAATCTCGCCCTTGCTTCTCCTTGAGTATCGAGGGCAAGAGAACGCTTAAGAGACTTTTTCAATACTTACGCTAAAAATTACCAGCTTAGTCAGAGCGACCTGCAAGTAGCTAAGTGAACGCAAGACTGAGCAGCGAGCAGCATGTGAGCACTCCTTAAATAGGGTGCCCACAGCTGCAACTGTTAAGGTCTAGTTATTCGGTCCTGGCTCTCCAGTCCCTCCTAGCAGTAGGAGGAGGCCTAGTAGATCGTCTGGACTGTCATGCATAGTCTTTCTTCGTGTTTCCTGATTCTGATTTAGCAGCACAGCAGAAACCGTAACCGGCACACTACAGCCTTGGAAACCATTTGGCTCTGAAGTGGAAAAGAGGCCACTTTTTCACGCCAAATACTGTGATTCGTTAGGCAAATCACTGTCTATTCAAAGCCCATGAAAGACCAACGATCTGTAAAAAAAGGAATAAGCGCACTGGGTCATTATTAAAGTGTGGGTGGATGTGGGAAAGGGATTTTAACGATTTTAATGAAGGATCTTGGATGTAAACAAGCGAAGTGCTGAACATAACCTAACATGGCCGCGTCAACTTCACCACAATTACTGCTGCGACCTTCAGTGTGTAGACTTGTGTTGTAAGGTGACAGCAGACTGAGTGGACTTTTCTGTCTGATGAGTCATTTGTCTGAGCGAGACAGGGAGGGAAAGTGTGTAGACAAAGCTCTGGGGGACGGCTGCGGCGGTCCAGCGTTCATGACATTTAGCAGGGGCTGGATGTGCTTACTTGGAAATGAACAAGGCTATGGTGAAGAGCAGCGCCACCAGGATGAAGAAGACTCCCAGCAAAATCTGAGGGCAGAGAGAGAGAGAGAGAGTTAGTGACACATGTACAGCTCCCTCTGGTCCATGATGCTCAACCTAGAGGCGGTGTCATTTGTTAGCGCTCGACCATACGGCCCGTCCACGTCAATCTGGCACTGTCACCGAGGCTGACCCTGCCGACCCTGGACGCCAGCTTTGTAAACGAAAAGAGCCCACACTGTGACCACACAGACATGGAGACACAAACACTCTCACGGTCAAACAAAAACAGTTTCCCTGCCATTAAGTGGCCTCTTGTGTGAAGAGGAAAAACAAAAACAGGGAGAGAAAAAAGAAAACGAGTGTGAGGAAGTTTAAAACGACAGAGAGAGCAAAGAAGGACAATCAGAGAGAACCTGAAAAACAGCATTACTAACCTTCTTTAGGAAAGACAGTGGTTCTGTGTAGCACCAAGAATACTCAAAGAACCCTTTGCAGGCTTAAATGGTTCTCTGAGTGGTGAAATGGTTCTTCAGATTGATGGGGAATGTGTTAAGTGTTATATAGAACCACATACAGCACATTCTCCATCAATCTAAAGAACCATTTCACCCTGCAAAGAACCATTTATTCATACAGATGGTTCTATGAGTGGTTATGAATCTATATAGAACCACTGGCTTTACTAAAGAACCTTTGAAGAACCATCTTTAAGCGTGTATGGAATCTATATTTTAAATAATAAAACCAATTAGGTTGTAGATAAACACAAGTGAACCTGACATAAAAGTCATGTTATGATGAACAGTGCTGTACATGATTCAGAAGTGCCTGAGAAAGCTGTATTACTATATGTATTAAAACTAAATTAATAATAAGATTAATATACAGAATATTTAAAAAGTGTTGATAAAATATCAAGGCGAAAAAAATACTATAAGATAATAAAAAGCTATAAGTCACAAGAGGCCGCTCAGAATTACGATTAAAACATGGTAAAATCACTGTAAGGCACATTTTTAAGTGGCTTGTTGCTTTTGTAAAATGGCAGCAACACAAAATACTAAGAAATATTATAATATAAACACAGTTTCAATACAATATTTAGAATATAATTAATAATATTCATAATAAATAACAATAAATAATCCCTCCACCAAGAAACGTCATTTATTTGGAGTGTACCACTGTTCACTTTCAGTCATATGCAAACATTTGAAACCAAATTAAATGCCTTTTAGTGCAAAATTTCTGTTTCTGTTTGTAAATATGAGGTAAAAATAACAGAATATAAACCGTTCATCTGCGACGCTGGGCTACTGTCCATTTCGGAAAAGTGAAAGTAGCATAAAGAGCTTATTTACTTCATTCAGAAGCCGAAACATGGAGCTCTTCCACATTTATTTGGATGTTTGTAGCTCGGTTTGGTTGTCGTCATGCCAACAGCAGAGACGGCCATGATTGGTCAGTGAGTTTTTGTTCATTTTATTATTGTGTATAATAAAACTTTCCAGCTTGAAGATAGAAAACCAATGGTTGTCTGATGTTTGTCACTGCTGAAACAGTCAGTAGTGAAACAGATGGTAGAGTTTGGTAGAGTTATGGTTGTTTCGGTAGAGACAAAATGGAATGTTTAATCATTAGTTTTAATAAATTAGTCACAGTTAAGGAACAGAGTCAAGGACTCAGTCAGTTTAAAGTCCAGAATGTGTTTTCAGCTGTGAACCAGATATTATTGTATTTGAAATATTAAAATAATATTAATATGAATAGGGATTCCAAACTTTGGAGGAGTGGAGTAGGTAAGAGAGGCAAGTCAACAGAGAGAGTGAGAGAGGGGGAGTGAGGGAGTGAAGGAAAGTGGAGTTGAGCTGGATGAGCGTGGGATGTTTGCTGATGACCTTGGCTGACAGTTCCATTTGGCATGGAGGCATTAAAACACTGCTGTTCTGCTCATTCCTGTAATGGTCGTTTCTTAATGAGCTCGGCCCGAAGTCCGTAATGGCCGCACGGCCTAATGGGCCTGTTTCAGTCTCCAGCTCCTATTTACACCTGTAACAGCCAGCACACACCATCTGAGACCCACTCAGCTGCTCCTCCGCCACGGTTATGGTTATGGTTATGGCTCTGATTGCAGTAAGCAAATCAGGTCCTGGATTAAGCCCAGTTCACACCCATCTAACAAGACGAGACGACGGCAGTGTTGCAGAGAGTCTTAACGAAGGCCATCACTAAAACCGAACGTCCAGCCTGAGATGATGGTTTTAGACCTGGCTAATAGCTTCAGGTGACCGTTTTGCCGCTTTACAGCCTGAATAATGTAAAGTCAGGGATGAGACGGATGAAATTATCTCACTGTTCGCCTTGCTAGTCCAAATTATAAAGGACAACTGGTAGTTTGGAGCAGGCATAGAGTTCATGGACTGGGCAATGGCTATTTTAACCTTTATCAGAAGCAGAATGCCAAAGACACAAATGCCTTTCGAAGCATTTCCTGTGTTAGGCTCTCCGACTGTCGTTGATTGGTCAAGGTGCTGACGTTACAGCTCAAAAATACAAGTTTACATGACGGCATTTCAAAAGGGAAGAGGCTCATGTTAAAGCTGGGCCTACACTACACGATTTTATGCCCGATTTTAAGCCCGATTTGCCACTCGCGACAAATTTTCATAATCTGAGGTGTTTCTACAGGTTGGGAGCTCGATTGGAAGCGACTAATGGCGCCGATGATCTGAGTGTTTGATGAAAAACGAGTGAATCTTTATCCCTCCAGTCGAACTCTGGAGTGACCAGAGATCCTCAGATATTATCAAACATGTTTAATATTTATGACTCTAAACGTTCTCGAGTCCTGCAGCGAGAGACGGTCAGGGATGAGCACAGTGAATGATTCAAACAGCCAATCAGAGAGCTAGAAGAGCGGAGAGAAAGGAGAAGAGACGAGCATGAGCAGCGGAGTGGAGACAGAGGAGCTGAGAGTAAAACAAAGGCAGATCAGAGTCGATATCATGTTTATAATGTTGATCCAGATCAGGTCACTGTCTTTACAGTTTCAGCGCAGCTGCCAGTTTGCAGTGAAATATTTCTCCAGCTCTCACTGAATCAGCGCTTCTCACCACAGATTAACCCCCAGTTTGAGCTATCGCTGCACATAAAAGCTCAACCAGGCCCAGTGAGTTCAGCTCTGTGTGTGTCGTGTGATCTGAGGAGATCTGGGAGTTTGAGTTCTTATTCGTCGCCCAAACTCGTGATGTGTGTTCTTCTCTGTCTTTGCCCCGTGGTCTGGTCTGGGCGCCTCACGACAACAAGACAAGAAATTCTGTGAAAGACTGACGGAAAGTGTGCGATGATCTCCGTTTCACAAATCTGTTCAAATTTGCTAGCTGTGTAGTGACGCCCAGCCTAACTGGGGCCTGAAACTGAACATTTCCAAATTCTTAAAACTTCCAGACGTTCTAAAACTATAGATCACGCTGATCAAGCAAATTTAAGTGAATATAACACTGTTGTTGGAGCAAAACCTCGTATCTCCAAAACAGTAACCTTACAGGAGAAGGAAAACACATACTCTACTTTTAATGGAAGTCAATGGAACCAGACGTCTTTCCAAGTGATTCTGGGCCGTTTCTTTTGGTCCATTCATCATGAAATCTACACACAATATAAAGGGAAACAGGCATTTTCAAATTATGCCAGAAACTGGACAACAATAAATATGGAGATACAAGGATTTCTTCCAACAAAAACATCAAAGGACTTTTTGCTGGTGCTACAACAACTTCAGAGAGCAGCAGTTAGAATTATCTATTTTAGCTTGAGCTCAATTAAACAACGCATGGACTCCCCTGTTCTGCACTGGCTCCTCTCTCTGGAGAGTCAGTGCATGGACTGTTTTGTATTGGCTCACTGCAGTTCCAGCTCCATCTTAGCTCCGCCCACTTGTTATCACACTCACCCGCAGCTTGTTCTGGACTCGTTATCTCCTGTAAGTTTTTAGAAAAGTAGTAGTGTTTAGAAAACCTTTGCTTGTTTTTTGCGAACATGGATTTGCCTGGACTTTTGCTGCCTGCCTGTGTGCTGACCCCTACCTACGAGGACTGACTGCTGGACTGCCCCAGCTTCGCACATGTATCCAGTTTAACTCCCCATTCGTTACAGTCTGTCATCACTTGGGAGCTACGAAGTACCGACAGCTAGGAAGCAAGACAACTAATCAGCCAGTTTGATTAATTAATTAGCAGAGATTTATAAGCCAGGTTAAATTTCATGATTGTGACAGGTGTACAAGTAGCGGCACCAGCAGTTACCAAATTTGGTCCTAGAGTACATCTGTCCAGGACATTTTAGTGTTTTTCCCTGCTCCAACACACCCACTTCAACTCAAGGATGCTAACAGGCTGATTATTTCAAGTGCGTAACAGCTGAAGGTAGAAAGTACCTAAGCCCATTTTCCTTTGGCACAGTTACTTCTTACCTTTAAGTATTTAACTTAGTCATGCCGATCTTTAATAACTGCTACAGAGTCAAACCAAAACAGCTTTTCACAACTTCACTTCCAACCTGAGGAAGCAACTGCGCAGCTGTCGAAATTACTGTAACAATAACAAACTAACAATATGCAAAATCGCTACTTTGCTCCTTTACTCTTTAGTTTGAGTTGTCGTTCAGGGATAATGAGCATTACAGGTCTTCATTAACTGGTGTCTCATGTACACCACTGTTTGTACATGTTTGTTATACAGCTTTTAAATACAGACATTTTAAAGAATGCAAATGTATGAGGAGGAAATCAGTGTTGACTCTGTTTGAAAGGGTCATGTGAAGTTATGGGCAACATTGGGGGGGGGGCAACTCACTTTAATTATGGAACAATGACATTTATCAAAACTATCTACTATGTATAGAGACTGATCTCCACAACATTAGGGGGCAGCCTGCATTCTGATGCGACAAGTTTAATGCAATGCAATGGACAATCGAGAGCACTGCAGTCACCAAGTTTAAAGAGGAGAGTCGAGCTAGTAGCACAGTTTCTGCTCTGCTAGCAA